CGGCCGTCATCATTAAGTTACTCGGTGGAGTCGGGATGGTTCAGTGACAAAGCGTCTCCAGACATGCCCTTGGGGTTGCTGAAGCAGCTCCCCCGGGGTGTGGCTGTTTTGCTGGGAAGTGGGAACCCCCTCCCCGACCCCCTGCCCTGACATCTGAAATAACCTTATGCTGTAGTCTTTTAGGTAAAAATAATATTGTTCCGTCGAAAGCGTGACACCGTCCGATCAAGTCTTCGTGCTGGAAGAGGAGGGCCGAGCGGAGTCTGCGGGCCTCCATCAGGGGGCTGTAGTCGATGTGGTACTGGTACAGGGCCCACTGTGGCCGGGAGGTCAGGCGGAAGTGGTTGGTGCTCAGCCTTACTATAATCCCCGAAGAACCTGTGGAGGGGGTCCCCGGGCAGTCAGCACATCGCCAAGTCTGTCCTCCCCAAAACCTTTCCTGCACGTGGGCAGGCAGAGTCCCGTGACCAGGAGGGCAGCTGACGACACGGAGTTCTCAGATGCTGACAGTGGGGACTGCCGTCCTACGTAGGTAAACCCTCAAGAGTGCACTTAGAAATAGCGTCTCCTCGGACTAAGTAATTTACAGCTGAACCAACCAAATCTCTCTACGGCAAAAGTTTTAAGAGAAAGAAGGGATCAGTGTAACTTTTATAATAAAACAACATTTTGGCGCAGCTGAAGACACGTACAGCCTACATGTCAGAGCCGAAGGGAGAGAATGGAAAAGCTGTGTGGGCCCCCGGGTGCCATGCGCAGGCCTGCGAGGCAGCGCGCCTCCCTCACTGTCTGGAGCGCTGGGCGGGCAGCCCCGTGGAAGTGCATGCTCCGTGGCTCACATACCTGTTTTGGATTCTTTGACATGGTCAAGGTTCTGCCTTGTGTTCACACCGAGATCGTGAAAGTCTCTCCGACGACCCCCTCTCTCTGCTAAGGATAACTCCTGAAATCCAGCAGAAATCTGGAGCTCTTAAAAAAAAAAAAAAGGAAATTATACACCTTCTACAATTATACATGAAATAAAGAACAAAGAGCTCAGTTCTCCTGTGAGTGCAAACCCCAGAGCTAGCTCAGAACTGCAGCTTCCAGACTTCGCCAGAGCAGCCTCAATGGAATGCCCGTCTGCCTGACACACCGTGGAAGCACCAAGCCAGTCAGAGCCCACCCGCCTGCCAATCAGGAAGATGCCAGGTTTCAGAATGGACAAGCTGGAAGCCTTGCTGATCGCTTCCCCCATGCAGCTGCCAGTGATTCACTGAAACACCCCAGCTCTGCCACCGTCCAGTCTAAGAGTCCTCCCTGTGTCCACACCCCCTTCACAGGGTGAAGGCCTCATTAAAAACAAAGCTGTCAAAAGTGTCATTTGTTTCTAAAACATAGAAATTTCAACATTTACTATGACAAGCACTTCTCAGATGTAATCCTCACAAAAGCTGTGTAAAGTGTAACACGGGGCCTCATACATGCTGCCCCCGTGTGTGATTTAATCCTCACAGTCAATGACCCTTATCTGTTAAGGCAGATACCACCTTTTCGCAGACAGAGTTTCACAGAATTCACAAGTAACTTAGATTAGTGAAATACTACACAAAGTGTCATAATTTCAAAAACAAAAAAACAACCATAAGTCAGTGAAGATCAACACAGTACTTAAGAAACCAGATCTAAGCACTTCCCACGTGATTGTTTACATTTGAGACTACCTGAATAAGGAAATGGTTTAAAACAGCTTCAGCATACCGTTGTATGCCAATGCAATAAAATTTTGCTATTTTGAACACAGCTAAGTCAAATATTTTAAGTTCAAAAGAACTGAGGCATCAAGATTAGAAAAATTGGGTAAAATTCTTTAAATGTAAAGAGATTAATGCCCATAAATGAATTCTCATCTGGCACTTAAAAAATAAAACACCTAGTGCCAGAAAAGTTACGTATGTAATTGGACAAATATGAGACCCTTTGTCTTCTAATTGATTCTCCAAATGAACTGCTATCAACTCACGTATTTTTCCTCAAAATTTTTATACAGAAAATACACACACATGAACGTATTAAAAACACAAAGATAATGCTGGTGTACAACTTGGTTTCCACGGTCTGGCTCAGCTGGGTGTCAACACTCGTGTAGCTGGCCACACGGCACTCTTGTTCAGGTCAGTGGTGTTCACCTGCCTCTCCATAGGCAGGCGCTTCCAGGTGTTTGGTGCCAAGTGTGTGGTTACCACCCTTACACCATCCTGCACTTATCCAGGATCTGTCAGCTACATTCCCGGATGTGGGGCTGCTGGTAAAGGGGGCCACATTACATCAGCTGCACGCTACCAAGTGCTATGCAGAAGCTGGCGCAATGATGCCGTCCCACAAGGAGCACAAGTGCCAGTTTTACAATTGCCGGCACTGGCAAAAAATAAAACAATGGAAAACAAAGAGGTAAAAAATGCTCGTTTCCTTTAAAAGTCCTGAAGCCTGAGGCCCAGCGTTGCCATCGGCCTCTGTGTTTTTAGGGCACCGGCCCTTCACCTCCGTCACTCCCTCTCCCACCAGCTCAAGATCATGGACTCACAGCAAATGTGCCTTTGGACAATTTCCTGGTTTCTTTTGTCCTGCTTGTCACATAAGGGAAATGGTTTATTGCAACAACTGGAGACTATGGGGAAGGGAACCAGCCTATGTGCGCACACGGCTTCCTTGTGAATCCACCAGCTTAAGTGGGTGGGGGAATGCGGGACGGAGGTGATGCTGCCAGAGACACAGCTCTCCTGCCACTCAGTACATTCCCGGGTGTCTTCTGACTTGGACAGTATTCGCCACAGTTCAATTTAAACTTCAAGATTTTAGGTTCACATGTTTTTCCCTTATGTTTATGGATTTCACTGCTTCCGGCTAAATATTTAGGGTTCATGAACATTTCATGCAAGAAATGAGGTAGAGAAGCAGCTTTGTTTCCTTGTGGTCCATTTGCCTCAACACCACCTTCCTGAACGCCCGCTTCCCACACCCCCTCGGAGACTAAAGCCAATGTTATCGTGTTGGTCCCCCCGTGTGCACATGGGTCTGTTTTCTCCTACACAAAAAACGTACTGAATAGCCGTGGGAGAATCTTATATCATGCACCCGAATAATTCATTTTTGCAGCAGCGCAGCGAAAGGCATAATGTCCGGAATCGGAACTAGCGTTCTGTATGGCGGCTGTCAGTTTTCGCATCTGCAAATCAGGGTGAACCAATACAGCACGTGTGAAAATGTATTTTATGCACCAAAGTTATGAATGTTAAACTTGATCCAGCGTTGGCAATCATAAAGATGTCAAGAGCATGTTCTAAAATGGCATATTAATGCGTTGTAAAAACACTCGCAGTCAGTTTAGAATTTAACTGCCTCGTGATGGCTTGGACTGGACATACTCTTGTCCATTTGTAGGGGGTAGAGAAGCCTGGTGGCCCTCCCCACAGCAGCAGGCTACACAGTCTGAGAGGGACCCTGTATCCTTCAAAGGACTACTAGGACCTTTTTATTTCGAGTTTGTACACTGGTTACCATTTCACGTCTCACACGACACCTCACACACACGTGCGAAGGCTCTTTACTCTCCCTTCACCTTGTGATTTGGCTGTTGCTCCTACTGGTCCCCTCTGCCGACCACGGCCAACCAATTCCCCCTCTGCTGGCGGCTGCTGAGGTCTAGGCTGAGGATAGCCAGGTGGCTGACTCTGCAGTTATATGCAAATAAAGAAGAGCATTCTTTTTATGTCAAGAGATTACAGATCTGAAATAACTAGTCTTAAACAAGTCTAAGGCATTCAATCCAAACTGATCTAAAGCAGAAATCAAATATTTTATTTGGAAGATTTCTTCAGGAAGGGTCACCAGTGAAAGTTAAGAACCAGTTTCTCACACCCTTGGGAAAGGGGGCATGCTCCTCCTGGTGATTTCCGGCCTCCTTTGTAGGGCACGGTTTTAAACTCGTTGTTGACAGGGCAGCCGAAGCTGCTCAAGGTTTAACAACAGGTTCTGTCTCCAAGGGCCCTCCCGCAGCGGGAAGGCGACCAGCCACTCACCACAGCGCCCACGTGCGGTGCAGTCTCCTGGCCCCGAGCCCGCCCTCTCGCTCTGGCTCTGGCTCGCCCCGTCATTTCTTTCTTGCAAGGAAATAAGTGTGAAGACAAAGCTCAATGTACACAGTCACATTTGGCCATTTCTACAAGGTTACCGTTAAGCTGATTCAGTTAAGACTGTACAAAGAGCCCCTGGGTAATTACATATTTCCTAACTTCTCTTAGCAGTTTCTTAAGGCAGGAATGTTCCCACCTTCAACAAACTTAAGCGCTAGCTGTGGACAGGGCACCGCACTAGGTGGCAGGGCTAAAGCGGAAGACTTATTTTAAAATAGTATTTTCAACTGATTAGAAACAGACAGAAAAACTACTAAGACTTCAAATGTCGGTAGCTGGTTCTCTCTCTCACGTAATCTACCATGGAACAGGGCCCTGGGCGCATGCTTCACGCCAGGCCCGTGACGTCATCCTCACACACAGGTACTGCCTCCTCCCGGATCTTCCCACAATTCCACGTGTAGCTTAAAGTTAACGTCCCCAAGCTAATATCTTTCTATCACATCATTTATGTCTCATAATCTCATTCTTGGTATGTGGCATCACTACCCATTTTGTCTCTAAAGAAAAATGACTCAGTCACTTCTCTCTATGCCTTTACTGCTCTGACCTCGTTTGACTTGACTACTCCCCCTGTGGCTGCACCACGTTAACAAGCACCTGCTGTGAGTCAGGCCTTGCGAGGCACCAGCTGTTACTGTGGACACAAGTCCCCACCCCTAGAGCAGCATCGGGTTACTAAAGGTAGAGACCTCCGGGCTAGACCACCCAAATCCCACTCCTTCACGTGACCTGGGACTCGTGTCTTCATAGAATGGAGTTATAATAACCTACTGCACGGGTTAGAAAACACATAAAGTGCTTGCAAAGTAGCCGGCACACAGAACACACTCGGCAAATACCAGCCCTAGTGGAAAAGGCAGATCAAATTCTAACCATAAATTTTCAAAAGTTTAATGAAGGAAATAAGCAGAATGTTCTCACAAAACGGAAGGCAGGCATTTGCACACGGAAGAGGTGTGCCTCTGGTGAAGCTGACGTTCCAGCTGATGGAGGGTGCTAGGAAGGTAAGTGGTGGCCGTGACAAGTGCCGAGTGCCTGGCTTTCCTGCAGAACTGAAAGCTGCCCAGTGTGACTGCAGCGCAGTGGCAGAGACGGCGGGGCAGGTACAGAGCAGACTGCACAGGGCCTCCGTGCCGCGAGACCGCGGGGGTTGCGAACAGGGGCAGGAACGACAGCGCCCCGAAGACCACTCTACTCCAAGGCAGGGTGTTCCCTTCCCCCAAGCGTTAACAGCTGCTGAAGTTCTTCGTTCCGCAACCGGCTTCCCAGGAAAAGCAAATCCAATGAATGACATTCTCCGACTTTAAAGACCTCTCTGACTTCCTGTCGTGTTCTACAGGATGACGAGCGAACGCTAACTGCGAAGACACTTTACAACCCGATTCTAACTCGGCAGCCGCCGAAGGTAACACAATACAACCTGCCGCGACGCCAGCGCTTCATCGATGTCAACGCCGTCTTAAGCTATGTTTACACGACGTGTGTCGCGACCAGGGCCACACATACAGGACAGACCGCGCACGCCGGCGCACATGCTCGGTCCGGCCGTGAACCCGGTCACATCTGGACACTGCCACCACCGCCGCCTCCACGACTCGCTTCGGACGGCGGCGCGTCC